TTTGTACTGTCATTGTTATTTATCTGTTGTGTCCAACTTGAATCTGTATGGTTAGAAACAATTTTCTGTTAGCTTTTTTTTTTTTGGTACAGTGAGTGACTAACGTTTAAATTTTGCTTTGAAGGTGCAATCAGATATAGCATTTGTTTCTTCTCATTGAGTGAGACTTTGCAGAGCGCAAGTGCAACTATTGGGTCTGGTTGGCAATGAGCTCGCAAATGGGTCCATGTATGAGAGCCCATGCTCCTTGTTTCAGTGACAGAACGGCTGAGGGAGCTCGTGGCTTAGTGGGTTTACGGCATCTGTTTTCCTTGACGTAGTCTGGACTGCGGTTCTCCAGACAGGAGTTGATTGGAAATGATTTGCATTAATTTTAGTCTGTGAAACAACAGAAGCAGTAAGATTGGAGGAGCCTGTTTGTGCAGTGCAAACAAAAAGCAAATGGCAAAGAAAAAAGAGAACGAAGTTGTAAATATTCATACCTACTTGTCAAGATAGTGTGAGCTAATGAATGTTGGGCTTTGTGAATAACATATGTTCAGAACCACGGTGATTGTGCTAATAAAAGCCTTCGGAGCCTTAAAGCACTTGAGTGGGTTTTTGCATCTGCTCTTCCTCAGCCAAGAGAATGAGAAAGCTCATAATCAGAGAGAAGATGCCAGAGTGTCTGTGAGGTCCACTGGTGAGAGAAGCAAGCTGAAGGGGCCAGACCTGAGAGGAGAACATGTCAGAATGTCTTCCTGAAGCAGCATTGGAGAAGACCTCCTGTAAGGTGTTGGAGCATCACTGGTATTTGAGTATGTATCAAGTCATGGTCCTATTCTACAGGAGCTCTGGTGGCACAGAGGTACAAACACCCTGCTGTGAAACAGAAAGTTGGTGGGTCGAAGAGGAGAAAGGTGCAGTGGTATGCTTCCATAAAGAGGACAGACTTGAAAAGCGTATGTGGATGTTCTACTTGGTTTTACTGGGATGTGTTGAGTCAGAATTAGATCAAGGGCAACAGGTTTTGGATTTTGGTTTATTTGTGTTCTGAGAGTTCTTGGTGACTTCTGGACTCTCTCCTGTGTTTTCTGAAAGCCTAAAGAAGCCTCGAAAGAATTGGGGGACTGATATCAAAGGCAAGCAAGTAGGAATGCCTGAGGTTGTAGCGTCTCAATGGAGAAGGGAGCTTGTGCCTGGAAGTCAAATTCCTGGATGGGGGCACCTCTCCGTTTGAGAGTGCTCACATCATCCCTTACATCTGCCTCCGCCTGCTGAGCAAGATTTTCTGGATCAGTCCCTGCAGTGCACGGTGTGAGTGAGTGAGTGTGTGTGTGTGTGTGTGTGTGTGTGTGCAGAGGAGGGCAGGGGGAGCATAATTTCATCAGTGCCCACTCATTGCCATCACTAGTTCTCTCAGCTCACATTTACTGCGTTCTCTCATCTCTCTTGTCTTCTCCCTTCCTGCCTTCCTATTACCTCCCCTGGTGAAATTGAATCTGGGCCACATGGTTATGCTCTCAACCTCTCCAAACCTCCTTTCCTTCATCCTTACAATGGAAATAAGAACCACATTCCCCATGTTAAGATGAGATCCAAGCTTGCTCCCAAAATTCTTTATTGAGATAGTGATTCTCTTTTTTCCTTTGGCCCGCAGTTCTTTACTTACCACCATGCTATCTTTCTTGTTATTTTTAACTTGGAGTTGTAGCCAAAATGTTTCATTTAACATTATATTCTCAGGAACAGTTGTCAGGCTCAAAGAGAGGATGTTCTCCCTGGATATGGTACAAGAGACAGAAACTTGACATTGGATCAAAGTCCAGAATTCAGGGGTTTGG